ATGATGGATGGATGGATGATGGATGGATGGATGATGGATGATGGATGGATGGATGATGGATGGATGGATGATGGATGATGGATGGATGGATGGATGATGGATGGATGATGGATGGATGATGATGATGATGATGATGATGATGATGACATCACAGACCTAGCCAGTTGGCCCTCAGCTGAAACTCGTAGAAGAAGAAGAGTTTTCCTTTGCGGTTGTTGATGGAGGCTTCTCCGTCCAGCTTGCTGACGTCTGTGACCTCACAGACCCCCTCTGGTCCCTCCACCCGCACGCTGAGCAGCAGCTGACGGAGACGCTCAGACGACCAGGCGGAGACATCTCGCTCCGTCCTAAACGGGAACACAAGAAGAAGATAGATCTGTCTCAGCTGCTCCTGGAGTCAGCTGGCTCCACCCACTTCTGACATCACAGCTTTTAAAAATATCCACACATGTGCTGAGCTGCAGGGTCTGATAACAGTTTGTCCCCAAAATAACTCCTGATTTATCCCACTGCTCATTCTGGAGGTTTCTGCCTGGAGTCAGCGTTACCATGGAAACCAGCAGGGTGACTTTAGCATGTACTGTATTTTGATCTTTATATGTCAGAGGACTAAATCCTTCAAATTCCCTGAGTTAGTGTTCACTGAAGGAAATAAAGAGATAAAGACAGTGAGGCTGCACTGACCAGTGCCAGTTGTTGACGTTGGTGGCATCAGCTCTCTCCTCTACGATCCAGCGAGGATCTCCTTCCCCCCATCTGGCCATGGCGGATCAGCCGTACGGACTGAAGATCCTGGGAGTCTGAAACAGCCGCAGCGACTGAATCTGGGAATCCTCTGAAACATAATCCTGCTGCACAGCGGAAGGACTTTCAAAATAAAATCCCATGCAGGAGGCAGTTCAGGAAAATAAAGTGACGCCTCTGGTCTGAGAAGATAAAAGTTTCAGATCCATCAGCAGCGAATAATAGAAGCTTTCCTTTGGTGGTAGGAGTTATAGCTCCAAACTAACCTGACTCTAGGCCGGATGATCCCGTCCGTTAAGCTTTAGTTTGGTTTTCATTCAAGGTTTCTGACTTCAGAGCCGCAGAGAGGACCTCTATAGGCTTATGGAGCAGACCTGGACCAGTGGAGAACGTCCTCTGGAGGAACAGACCTACCAAAATGACTGAGAAATGTAACCCGTTACTCATCTGGGGGGTCAGAGGTCATGATTCCACAAAGGCAAGAGAGACGGGAAAAAATGGCTTCCATTGGACAGTTCCACAGCCTGCAGTATCAACAGCTGCCTCAGGCCTACAGTCAAACATGGAGTTGGTAGAGTGATGCTCTGGGGCTGCTGATCTGGAGGACTTCCTGTCATTCAGGGAACCTTGAATAGAAACCTTTTAAAGAGACTCTCTGATGGTCTTTAGAGTCTAAAATCAAGCTTTAGGTTTTATCTGAACTTTGAATGTCTGACCTTGGGATTCATTTCCTAATATACCTGCTGGCCTTTAAAGGAGAAGTCGCTCATATTCAGAAATCAAATTATAATAAATAAATCTGAAATGATTCCATCCTGTTCAATAAATGATCAGTGTTTTTAATTCAGAGTAATTTTCATGTGAATGTGCTTTACTGGAGGCATCCATGTTTGTCAAAGAACACTACTGCCACCTACTGGTTAGTGACGTCACGGTGCGGTATCGGCTGTTGATCAAGTCCCAGTGCTGTATCTGGTGTTTGTCACAACGCGCTATTATCCAAGTCATCTTGAAAACATTCTTCTTCCAAATGTTGGCTACATATTACGGGGGTTTTTTTTTCTCCAGGGAAACCAGGAAATTAGTTCAACACAAAACTTCCAATCAGATTAAAACCAAAAACTATGGAAAATCTATAATGACTAAAACCTTTAATTTTGCTCATCGTTGCCCAATTTACAGAAATACTTTCACTGCTTGAGTTTATTTCACTCAAATGGCAGAAAAACTGTGAACCTTAAATATTTTTTCTCTTTTAAGACATTTTACACACAAAGAAACTTACAAAAGACTTTATTATTCAGAACAATCACTAAAAATGTCAAAATCTCAGATTAAATTCCAAAAGTGTAGTTCTGCTTTCCACCAGTAGGTGGTGACAGTTTCACATGAAGCTCCGGTTCAATGAGGCTTCATCACACCATCACTAGTTAACTAGTTGACTCGTTAACTAGTGATGGTGTTGACTCGTTAACTAGTGATGGTGTTAACTAGTTGACTCGTTTACTAGTGATGGTGAGATGAACTAACTAGTGTTCATAGAAGGTGGCTGAGTTCTGCTGCATGAAGCTCAACCAGAGGCAAACAGGACCGCAGTGTTTATTCACTACAACTCCCAGAAGCCACCGCGGACCCGGAAGCAGTGAGGTATCCTTCCGAGAAGAAGAGGAGCTCCTTCGGGTGAATAAAGTGGCAGCTGATCGATGGTGGGTTTATTCTAATCATGTCTTTATTGATGCGTCATTTGTCTTCAGGGAGATTAATCTTTTTCAGCCGTTTGTTTTGGCGGGAAAACCTCTAAAACAGGCGCCTCTGTTAGCTGCTAGCATGCTAACTAATCAAAACACAGGCGGTCAGGGTGAAGCGGGGCTCACCGGAACCGGAAGCTGTGAATTAATGAAGGGGGGGTGATGTTTGGTTCTGTGTCCAGATGATGAAGAGTAAGGCAGATGAGGAAGACTACTGGAACAGCTCCAAGTTCAAGGCCTTCGCCTTCGATGATGCTGATGATGACCTCAGCAAGGTAAGCTGCTGGCCGGAAGTGACGTCATGTAGTCTGGAGGCAGAGGGATAAACTGCTGTAGGGGTTCTGGTTCTGTTTACTGGTTTAACTGGGACTGGAGGAAAGTTCCAGTTTCCTCTGATAATCAA